CCGCTCACCCCCACCCCCAACCATCCCTCCCTTTTCTCCTCAAGTCCTGAAGTTGAGTTTGAGAGGCGAAACGGCGGCGGCAGCCGCGCTCCTCCCGCTCCTCTGCCTCCCCATGGATATGCACTGCAAAGCAGACCCCTTCTCCGCGATGCACCGTGAGTACCGGCGCCCGGCTTCTGTCCCAGCTCAGCTCGGGGCTCCCCGTCCCAACCTGGCTCCATCCTGGCGCGGCCCGGCCCCTGGTGCTCAGGTCCCATCCTGGAGGCCACACTGGCTTCTCCCAGTCTCCCCTTTCGTTCTTCCTCTCTCACTTCCCAGTGTTTCTAACGCCTTCCGTTTCTCTCCTGCTGCCTCCTGTCACCCATGCTTCTCCCTCTGCCTGCCTTCCTACCTTCCCTGGTGCCCGCCACCTACCTTCCTTCCTTCCTTCCTTCCTTCCTTCCTTCCTTCCTTCCTTCCACCTGCTCCTTGTTAAGTCGTGGGTTTACACCCCATCTCCACCAGAAACCCCAATTCCCTAGCCACCCTCTTACCCTGGGCTGGGGGACTAATGAGCTGGCTGTTTTCAGGGTTTGTGTTGTGTTTTCTCTATCTTCTGTCTCTTCCTCCCTTCGCCTCCCTCCCCTCATCTCTACCTTTCCCCAACTTGCAGTGTGGTTGTCCAGGATGAGACTTGGAGCATCAGCAGCCTCAGTGTCAGGACAATCAGGCAGAAGAGTATGGGGGTGGGGTGCCCCCTTCTGACCCTCAGCTCCCAGTATCTCCGGGCAGCCAGCCCAGCCAAGGCTTCTTATGGGCTGGTTTGAAATGCTTCCTTTTCTTTCCTCTCTCCCTTCCCTCTCTTTCCCCTTCTCTGCTCCTTGAGTTGGGAGTCTGAGACTGGCAGGATGTGGGGTCTTCTTTCTCCGCCCCACCCGGGAGATGCTCCAAAAACAAAGACAGGTTCCAAAGAGACATTGAAGTCCGCAGGAGCCGGAGTAGAGGAGCCTCCTGGAGGCACCTGGGCAGAGCCAGGTTCTGCTTCTAGTTCTGGAGGCTCCTTGCCCACCTCACACTCCCTGGTGAGGACGGTTTAGCCAGTGACCTGGCCAGGGTGTAGGCAAAGAGGGAGAAATATGGGGGAAAGAACAAAAGGAAGGCAAATGCCAAAGCGGAGGAGAAAGGAGAGCGAGATCAAAACATGGGCAAGCGAATAAAAGAGAGAAAACAGAAAGGATGTGACCAAAAAAAAAAAAAAAAAAAAAAAGGAAAAAAAGGAGGTGAGGAGCAAAGAAACCAAAACAAAATAAGAAAAGGGAATGATTTTAATTAAATTTGAATTTAATTCATGTCATATGTCTTTAGCTTGGAAAACAATTCAGAGATTTTTTTCAGGCTTTTAAAAAAGATAAATGGATCCTAAATAAAAACATCTCCTCCTTTGTAGATTAATAATTAAGGATGATTTGTAACTTCACAGGGAAACTTTTTAGAACTAGCTTGATATATGTTTTGGATGAGAGAGCCCAGAGGAAGAGCTGAGTTTTTCTCTAAGCATACATTTAGCATTACAGGGAGGTGAGGGAGCTTTAAGAAATACCCCTCGGATAAAATACATTTTCCTAAATAATATCCAAGCACAGGAAACCCGAGCCAGGAGCCCTGAGCTGCGGCGAGTCTCCACGAGCCAAGCCCGAAACCCAGGCTCCTTTCCTGCGAGAGTGAACCCGGGTCTGCGCGCGGGCTTCGCCCAGCCCGCCCGCTTCTCGCCGCTGCCTCTGCCCCGGTTCTCCTCTCTGGCCGTTCCGAGGGGACCCGCCGAATCCCGGCCGCCCAAGGGGGGCCACTTTGAAAGCTGAAGGGGAGCAAGGCGAACTGAAGGTGATCGAAGGAAGGGAGAGACCGCGGCGCGGGCGGCGGACCGGCCCGCCAGCAGCCGCAGCCGGAGCCGGCGCCGGTGGCGGTGGCGCATTCCAGGCCCGACTCAGCGCCGGCTCCGACCCCCGGACCTGGACTCCCGCCGGGCCCCCTTCCATTCCCACCCCTTAGATTGGGGATGAGGGGCCGGGCCCAGAGCCCGGGAAGGCTGAATTATTCATCTTTAATCTGCCCGCAGCTGCCGCCTTTTCATACCGGTAACGCGAGTTCTCCCGGGGCCTAAATTATTGATGGTTGAGGTTTGGAGGGCGGGGAGGGGTGAGGAGTGGGGCTAGAGGTAGGGAGACCAGCGGAGACAGGGGGTAAAATAAGAGGTTCCGGCCTCCCCCAGCCTCCAGATCGGAGACCTCTCCCCGGGGGCATTGCCGCCGGCGCTCTGGATCCCCCCCGCAGAAGGGGCCGGGAGAGAATCAAGCGGGACGCAGACGTCCCCGCTTTCTCCGAAAGTCGCCCGAGGCTAGTCTGGCAGGGGCAGCAGGTTGACCGCAGGGTCCGGCCCAGCCGGGCCGCTAGAAGTCTCTGGGCTTGGATTGATCAGTAACCGCGGCTGCGGCTGGATCGCTCTGGGCGCAGGCTTGCTAGACTGCGTTAGGCCAGGGAGCACGGGGAGCCCGCGGTCAGCGCCCTCAGGCCTGGCACCCGGGAACCACCTGCGCTCCGAGGTCGGAAGCCCGAGCAGGACTTTGGTTGGAAAGTCAGCGCCCTCCTCCTGGCCAGGCGAGCGACCGCCCTGCTGCGCGGTGTCCGGTCGGCTGCCAGGTCTGAGAGGTCAGAAGGATGCGAGCTGGCCCGGCTGGCTGCGCAGGGTTCTCCGTGAGCCCTCAGCTCTCCCGGGCGACCTGTACCGGGCGACCAGGGCTAGGCGGTGGGCCCCCGAGCCTGGCGCAGCGGCCGCGGCCGAGCCATCGCCACCCGCGCTCTCCCAGGCTCCTTTCCGGACACGTCGCTCACCGCTGCCTCCCCGTCTGAGCAAGGCCAACACGGCCCCTGCTTCTAAAGCCTTCCCTCCTCCACCTGGCTTCCTTTGAACTTTAGACATTAGGGAGACGAGAGGATAGAAAACATAAAGGAAAGGAAAACTCGATTTAAAAAACCAGAAAACAAAAACACAGAGAAAGAGGTAGGAAAACTCCAATCCGATTAAAAATAAATACTAGGGAAAAGGTGAAGAGCAAAAGGGGGGTGTCAGGGACGTAGGGATGTCCCTGTGTTCAGAGCCCTTAGGTACAGAGTCACCGGGACTTAGAAAGCGCTGGCCTCCGAGCACATCGCCCCGCACACACCGACCACTCCATCTTGCCTGCGGCTCAGGCGGGGATCCCGCTCCACGCAGGTTCTGTCCTCTGTCCGGCCCTTCCTTTCTTCTGCATTCTTTCCTGCTGGCATTAATCCCCCCTCTGCTGTTTCCCCTTCTCCCCTCCTTTCTCTTGCCCTGCATCTCCATTCCTTCGCTGGCTTTCTCCCTTGTGTCTCACTGGTCTCTGAGCCCGCTCTTTCCCAGCCCTCCACCCAGCAAACATCTGCACCTCCGCGTCTCTGCCAGCCCGCAGGTTCCAATCCCCAAGCCCCCGGCATTGTGGTCTTCCGGCCCCCATTCTCCCGAGACTCCGGGAACATGCCCCTCTGCCCTGCCTGCTCCTTTCCCAAGTCCTGGGACGAGGACCCTGACTAATGGCCGGTCCCTGCTGTATGTGGGGTGTTGTGTTTTTTCTTGTCTCTCCCCAGCAGGGCACGGGGGTGTGAACCAGCTTGGGGGGGTGTTTGTGAACGGCCGGCCCCTGCCCGACGTGGTGAGGCAGCGCATCGTGGAGCTCGCCCACCAAGGTGTGCGGCCCTGCGACATCTCCCGGCAGCTGCGGGTCAGCCACGGCTGTGTCAGCAAAATCCTGGGCAGGTGAGGGCCTCGGAGCTGCCCCAGGGAGGCACCCTGCCTCCTTCCCCTATCGGCCCTGGGTCTCCAGCCCGGGGACTTGGCTAAAAGTTGAGGATGCCAGCGGGAGAGGGACCTGCCCCACTGGGGGTATCTGGAGAGCTGCCCCTTTTGGAGAGGGCGCTCAGGTGGTGGCTGCAGCCCCAGGAGCAAGGGTGGAGCAGGGTCATCCAGCGCCTGCCCGGCTCCAGGGTCCTGGAGGAGAGGCAACCTGATTCCCATCTTCAAGAAGGGGGACGGGGATGCCTCTTCTAGCAGAGTTATATGGACTGGGGGACTGAGGTATAGGGGGGGAGGGGAAACGGACCCCCAAGAGGAGAAAAACAAGCCTTGGGGAAGTGGAAGGAGGATCTTGGTTCCCACAGGGGCTCCGCTCTAGGTGGGAAAGGGCTGGAGATGGTGCCTTAGCCCTGGTCTGCCTTGGGGGCCTGGAAGCTCTTCCCAAATGAAAGGTTGGACTTTCACTGCCAGGGGCACCTATTCGGGCTCCCTTCCTGGGAGTGTCCCCTTGTCCACCCTCTCATCTTCCGTTGAGTCCCCCGCCCTAGCCACGCGCCCTCTCAGCCATGCTGGGCCTTTCCCCCTGTGCTGCTGCTCTGGGCAGGAGAGTGGCTCAGCGTCTGTGGAACCTACAGCCCCCCTGCCCCTGCCACTACTGATTCTCGCTGACCCGCCGGCCTTCCCGGCGCAGGTACTACGAGACTGGCAGCATCAAGCCTGGAGTGATAGGCGGTTCCAAGCCCAAAGTGGCAACGCCCAAAGTGGTGGATAAGATTGCTGAATACAAGCGACAGAACCCAACTATGTTCGCCTGGGAAATCCGTGACCGGCTGCTGGCCGAGGGCATCTGCGACAATGACACAGTGCCCAGCGTCTCTTCCATCAACAGGTGAGCAAGCCACCCTGGGCTGCAGAGCAGGACTCCAGCTCCCACCTCCTGCCCACCAGGGCACCCCAGCACTCCATCTTGGGATCTTGGTTCTTTCTTCAGTCTCTGCCCTTCCTCCCTACTCCCAGCCACAAAGTATTTTGGGCTGAGAGAGGGGATCTAGGAGGCAGAGAGATAGACAGACAGACTGAGCTATCTCCAGCTTAGGGCTGAGTATTCCCTGCCAGGCTTCTCCCGCTGGCGTCCTGGAAATGAATCCAAGTGTTTGTGGTAATTAAGACTCCAAGATTACTCGCCTCGGTATCTAGAGACAATCACAGCCCACAGCCAAAGCCTTTAAAATGACCAGTGTCTATTCATCGCCTCCAAACAGACTTCCCTTTCTAAAGGCATACTCCCTTCCCCAGGGACAGCAGCCTGTCCTGGCTCCCCCATCCTCCCTGCCAGCTCCCACAAAGCTTGCCTCCCCGGAGCCCAGGCCTTGCTAGCCAGCTTCGCACAAATTTCCGGCCTACAAGCAGGAGTGTCCAGGCCTTCGGAGCAGATGCCAACCACTAGCCAGCAATTGGCAGGGACTAGAGAAGGTGGACAAGGAGTGGGAGGTCAGTCAGGGAGGGAGAACTCTGGATTCTGAGGCTGAACCTGAGGAGATGCCTCTAACCACCTGGAGTGCCTGTGTCCAGGCCTAAGAGTGCACTGTTGACAGGCTCAGGCACATGGGGACGACACAGGCTCGAATCAGCTTGACGTGTAATAGCAGAAGTTAGTTAGTCTCCCAATCTCCAAGTCACTCCAGCATGTGCATACTCAATCCATGTATGTGTACCCAGCCAGTGTGCAGATGTGTCTATCTGTGATGGGTACAGCACATGTAAGCAGTAGTTGGACATAGGATGGCTTCAACATCACAGAACTGTACAACCTGGCACTAACAGAGACCCTGTACATGTTCCAGATGACCTTGGCCAGCCTTTCAACCCATGCCCCCCATTGTAAGGCAAATCCCCGGATGAGATGAGGGTTAAGGGTTTCATACCCTTGTTATTCTTTGCCCTTTTCACAGGCTCATTTTCAGGGTAATAAAGGCACTATCTAATAATTTAGAAGCTGGCATCACATATCAAGGTGGTTTTTAAAAATAATTTGTAAATGATATGGAATTATCCCAAATCATCCTGAAAACAGCAGGTAAAATTAGCTGGTAGAATGTACCTTGGCTAAAGAAGATTCCCTCTGCCACACTCATGCTGTAACGTACTGCAAGGCGACCCCAGAAATTATCCCAGTGTGTGCCATCTGTATTAAAATGGTTATTCAGTTATGAACAGGGTAACATAATACTGATCAGCTAATTATACACCCTCTGAAAACCCTCAAGCTCCCTGGGCCTGGCTCAGCTAGGTATTGAAAGCATAGCAGTTTGACATTCAGACACCTTCCGAAGAAGCTGGAGAAAGATGCTGGGTGGTTCCAGAGAGGAATGAGTCTTTTGCATTTAAAAGCCAGAGGAGAAGGCTGGAAGGAAAGGAGACAAAGCATTGTTTTCCCAGCCATCTGGAGATTTAGTCTCTTGGCTGGTTGCTGGTGCTTGGAGTGAGCTGGAATTGGGGTCTTGGGAGGAGAGTAGCCCTGCTGAGGAGCAGTGGTGCTGGGTCTGGGTGCTCGTGTTCTGGAGAACATTAGAGAGAAATGCCGCCATCAGTGATAGGATTTGCTTTTGAGGAATCCAAACGTATGGTTAAGGCAGCTTGCTTCCCTTGATGGGCGGAGGATTAGAGCGATCAAGGCAGGCATGGGGGCAGCACCCCTTATCTAGCATCCCTTGCCCCCTCACCCCAAAATATACTCCTCACTGACTAAGATGATTTTGGAAGCTGGCTTAGGTAAAAGTTTGGGAATGCTCTCATCCTGAAAAGCCATGGAAAACAGGGGACAGGTGACCCTAGGATCAAGCTCCAAAGAACTTAAGGTGCATCTGTCAGAATTGGGAGAAAGTAGAGAAGTGAGTCTTGGTTGAAATAAGAGTGTGAGAAAGAGCAGCCTCAGCTTGACAGCTCTGACAGCGGCAGAATCTGCTCAGTATGGAGCCCTGTCATCTGAGGGGCACGGAGGCTGCCTTTGGGTGTGGAGAAATAGCCGTCTGTGGGCAGGTGTTGCTGTAGATGGAGACAAAGCGGGAGGAGAGGAACAGGGAAGCTCTGGGTCTACAGTTAGGCTTCCCGCTTGCTCTGTCAACAAGGAGCTGTGAGGGTATTCTCGATTTGGTTTTGGGACAGAATCCTATCATGATTAATATTTTGGAAAGAATTCTGGGAGCTTCCCAGTGTGCTACTGAGTCGGGGCTGGAGGGATGCATCTGGGCCCCATGCCTTTAGCTTCAGCCCTGTTGGTGCTTTGTTCTGAAGGGGAGAAAGTTATCTGAGATGTGTTCTTTCACCCTAAAGCCTGAGAAAGGCAGGTGTTTCTGCTGGTCTGGTGATGTCAGGACCTTTGTGAATTCTCAGTCTCTGCGGAAAGAGCCTGGAGATTTCACCCTGTGCAGAAAGTGCAGTGTCTTGGGGAACAGGTAGTGCTTGAGTTGAGAGCTTTACTATTGGTGAGATGCCAACGCGTGTTGGGTACTTTATAACCATTATGAGTAAGGGTGTGCATGTGCCCGTGGTTGGCAAGAAAGGAAGTCCACACATGCTCACCCACCTGAGCCAAATCGTAAGGTTTTTCATATTCTTCTCCTCAAAACAGATGCTGTCGCCGCACTTGAAATATGCTGTTATGGTTATAAACTAAATTGCTTCTCATGCTTTCAAAATGGTTCTGACTTTCTCTGATCCTGTCGTGATAAAGGTTTGGACAGCCAACCCACGTTCTCCACTGGCAAGTCTTCATAGAAATACTTCTCTTAGCCAATGGAGAAGGTCAAGGAGGCCTCCAACCCCAGCCCCCACCCCCACCCTCAGCCCCAGAAACCACTGTCAAAATTCTGGAGGGTTGATGAATTGTTTAGTATGTGAATCATTTCTTAGCGCCTGAATCATTCTCAATATTGGGTGACTGATCACTGAGCATGGAGTTGCCAGTTCTTCGGCTTGTATACTGCCACTGTAGAGGGTGGGTGTTTATAAGCAGGTGACTTGAGATTAAAACCTGGGGTTGGAAGTGCCTGGAGAGGGAAAGAGTTGGAGGGAGATCCATGCCGCTGAAAGGGGAAAAAGTCACCTAGTTACATCGCAATTGACTAGGAAGGAAGGATTTTCCTGATTGTGCGCCAAAGCCTTCTGGTTTGGCTGTTGCTCTGGGCAGAGAATACGGCTCCTTTGAAAGAACAGGCACAAACTCCAGGTAGAGTCTAGGGTTACTGAAGATCCCCTGAGGGCAATCTCTTGGAATGAGCTGACAGGAGGCCATCACTCTCCTAACTTTTTCAGCCCTACACTCTTTGGGACCAGGGCACTCCTGCCCCTAGGTCTTTGGAATGGACTCTTCCAGGGTCCATTTTTTCACTGATCACCTGCTATCCACACTCTCTCTTAGCCTGTTTGGCCCTAAGTGAGTACATTCATTCTCATAGCAGGGGCAATACTGGCTTCAAGAAGGCTATAGACCCAGTGCTATGTCGTTCACAGGTCTTCAGCAGAGCTCTGACAGTGGGGTGACAATGGTCTACCAGCTGTCCATTCAAAGACCTTTCTAAATAAGCTGGGGGCCACTCATCCTAGCCAAGGGACTGCTGAGGACATGTTCAGGGCTAGGGTTTGTGTCTCCTTCTCGGAAACTCAGGTTTCTAGAACATGGCACGTTTGACTCTTGGACCTGGTTTGGCACGAAGCCAGGCAAGAGGTGCAGCTTTTCCTGCCACATCTCCATACCCTTGCAGCTGTTTGGTGGTCAGGGTTGTTGGTCTCATGGCAAAGAGCCAAGGCAAGTTGATGGGCTAAGAAGAAGACCTTCCCACAAAGGAATGAGAAAAATATGGACAGAGAACTTGCCTTCTTGGCCCCTGGCCTACCAGACTGGGTCACAAATAGCAAGCACACATGTCAGTTTCTGTCTGAGAAGCCTGGCTCGCCTGACCCTCCCCAGAGAGGGTCTCCTGTTGCTGAGATCACCCATCATTAGGGTATCACATGTTACAGTCATGACTATTGGTCCTCTTATTCCTTAAAATGAACTGGCATTGTCCTTCCAAAAAGCCATTTTTGTTCTCTTAGTTATTTCAGACTTCTTGGCCGGCAGTCATATTGGTCTGTTTCCCTGGTGGCTGGCTCAGAGTGGGCGTTCAGGCCACAAAGTGACTTTCAGGTGAGAGCAATGGCTGGTTGCCCTGAGTTCTTACCTCAGCTGGCAACTCTTAGGAAGAGGCAGACAGGAAGGGTTGTGAAAGCTCCAAGTGGATTTTGGAGGGTGATGCAAAGAAGAAAAGAAAGGAAAACCCCTAAATAAATAAATAGTGTCCCAACTATTCTGAGAACTCAATAAAACAATCACATCAAAATGAAGAGGCATAAATCTTGTGTCTACACAGGTAACCCATTCAATTGCTTTTATTATCGCTCAGGCTGCTTCCATTTATAACCGTCCACAGCCTGGGCCATGGAGGTTGCATAGAGGGTGGTCTCCAGTGCAATCCTACACTCTGAGAGGCAACAATCAGCCCATACAGGCAGGGATTTCGATGGGAGCTCGGAAGGGCCCATCTGTCTGCATGAAAACCAATCAATAACTCTGTAACCAGAGCCCTGTCACAGGGAAATGGACAACACAACAGTTCAATACAGGGGCCACAGGGGGAATTAGCCAAGTGGAGATGGGGCCAGGCAGGAGCAGCCCCTGGAGAAAGGAAACAGGGTGCAGGAGTATTGGGGAGAGAGTGGGGTGTGGCAGGGAGAGCATTGGCTTTGTGAGTATATGGGTACAAGGGGAAGATTATTGTGCAAAGCAGATCAGGAAATGAAAGGCACTTTGGAAGTTGGGGTGGAAGGGAACAGTTGGGAAAGGGGCTT